GCCACTAAAACTACAATATGGCTTTGTAGTTCTTTCCTCAGGTTGGGTAGGTAAAAGCCACTTTCAGTTCTAGGCTTGCTTGGAGTTGCTGCACTTTTTCAGATTTTGGCCTGTTTCCTTATCTTGTTAGTGCTTCAGTACTTTTAAGAATATATGTGTTCTCTGACAGCTTTTTTTTTCCCCATTCTCAGTGAGGGTGGATGTGGTATAGGTTCCTTTAAATTACTTATCTGCCATTACTAAACAGTCAGCTCTCTATGTTGTTTTTTTAACTTAGTTTCTTATATGACCCTTTAGAATTTTCATTCAATTTCCAAATATGTTTTATCTATCTTGTCCTTAAGAAAAATTCAAATTTTCACCTGTTTTTGAAAACTGGTACATTCATATAATTATATTCAAAAGCTGTGAAAGGGTGTACAATGGAGTCTCTGCCTCACGATAGGGTCTTGCAGTGATTCATTTGTCCTCCCAGAAGGCATCTTACATTGCTGGAATTTTAGGTGTCCTAGTAGATTTTTATACTTCATTTGATCATTTGATCAAGCTTGTTGTGATTTTCAGTCTTTTATAGCATCCTGACTTTTGCTGCTAAGCTACATTAAAATTTACCAACATGTAGATCTTTCAGTTTTGCCTTCTAAGATGCATCATTTGGGCCTGGTGCAGTGTTGCATGTCTGTAATCCCAGATACTTGGGAGGTTGAGGTGGGAGGTTGAGGCTGTAGTGAGCCATGATCATGTCACTGCACTCCAGCCTGGGAGACAGAGCCAGAGTCTGTCTCATAAATAAATAAATAAATAAATACCCTACTTCTTTTTAGTTCAGTTTAACATCCCGTCTTTAGTACTCAAAAGTCTGTTTCCATTTGTGGAATTACAAAAATCATCAAGGCTTTAGGACTTTCAACATAGTAGAAGTTATAATCTTGTCTGGAGACCTGGTTTTCAGTCTTAATACTAATTGCTTGATTATTGATGCTGCAATCAGTTCATTGCTTCAGCAAGTGTTTGAGCTCCTTTGTGCTAGATGCTGGCATCAGTCAATGAAGAAATACATTTTTGGAGTTATGTACTGATGGCAGATACAAACTTAATTAAGTCTTGTATATTGTTGGAAAGTGGTAAGAGTTGTGTATAGAGCTAGGGTAGGGAAATTGGGAGTGTGGGTGGGAGGACTGTAGTGTCATGTTACCACTGAAAAGCAGACATTTGAATGAAATGAGCCATTAGGACATCCAGTAGAAGAGTAGAGCCAGGAGGCTTGGTGTAGCTGGAGCAGGGGGAATGAGGGGGACAAGAAGAGGGGCTGAAGAGCTGGTTGCATAGGGTTTTGTAGGATTTCGTAAGGACTTTGGTTGAAAGTGAGCTGATGGAAGGGTTCAGAGAATTGAAATGGTTTAACTTCTGTTTGAAAAGGATCACTGGTTGCTTTGTTGACTGGAAGGCATTTACTTTCTAATTAAGTAAAAGATTAATTAGAAATTTAATAACAAATGATCTTTATGTGTTTATATGTTAAGTTTGTTGAAGAGTCGTTTAGCACCTACCATGAGCATGGTATTTTTTGTTTGGATCATTGAGTCTATAACCAAGTGAATAAAAAGGTGGTTGTCTTCCAGGATCTGAAGCATATGTGACTACTTATTTATAAAAAGCCATTCTTATGCAGTGTTACATCTTATTTTGATGATCTGTGTCTAATGATCGATCCAGGGAGTTAGCATTGAAGTGTTAAAATTATTCCCTGTGGCCGGGCGCGGTGGCTCAAGCCTGTAATCCCAGCACTTTGGGAGGCCAAGGCGGGTGGATCACGAGGTCAAGAGATCAAGACCATCCTGGTCAACATGGTGAAACCCCGTC